TGTTTTTTTTTTTTTTGCGAGTTTGTTTGCGACGTCTCCGTAACATCTCAAGAATCATTTTACACCTGCAAACTATTCTTTGGCTTTATATGTGCATTGTTTACTAGTTTTTTTAACCTGCGCTGTCGATATATCTAAATTAAATTATTATTTTCTAATTATTAAAAAATATAAAAATGCTAAAAAATCTAAAATCTTATATTTATTGGATAATATATTTTAAAATAGTGAGATTTTAATAAATCAACTGATGTACTTTTTAAAAAAAATTAAAATAATCATGTATTGAATTGATATGAACTAGCTTATAACTTGAATTATGAGATAATAAAAAAAATTAGAACATAAAAAAAAATGAAAAAACTTGATTTCAATCAATCAAGTATTGAAAAGTAAAAAAAAAATCAGTTTAAAAAATAATCTAAGAAAACAACTCAAGTAAACCTTAAAAAAAAAAAATCAAATTAGTGACTCATCATGAAAACAAGACTCCCTTACAAAACAAAACAAAAATACAAAGATTAGTTCCTATCAAACCTATTATCAAAGTATAAACTTTTAAAATAAATTAATTTTAGAAAAACAACCCAAGATATTAAAATCAACCTAAATTAACGTATTGAATCTATTACCTTGGTTGCGAACCAACAATAATTTCATTAATACAAATTATGTTCTTCTAAAAGAACAAGTAAAGCAAAACAAATATGTATCCTACCATAAAAAAAAAATTATGGGTATATAATCTTTTTTTAAATAAATTCTTTGATTTTGACTTTATTTAAATGAAGCTAGAAAACAAATTCTTAAGAAAACTCTTTAAAAATAAGCCTATGAGTCTAGCCTATAGACCAGTTTGTGGGCTCAAAACAAGGGCAGACATATACTTCCCGTTTAAATTTATTTATTTATTTACTTAATTATATAGATGACATGTTGCTTGTTTGACTAACTTTTTTATAAATGACGCATGCAACGTGTTATTTCTCTTTTCGGTTCTTGATGATTCTTATACTACTAAAAAATCAAGATTAGGGTTTTTCAAACCCAAAAGTTCATTTCTCCCCTGTTTTTACACCCAAAAACACCTAGAAACATATCCTAGAAACCAACATAAACCCTTTAATTCCCCTAAACAACAAAAAAAAAAAAAAAAATTGGTCCAAAATTGAGAAATTAACCTAAAATCCAAAAATTTTTATAAGGTTAGATCTATTATGTCATTTCAAGGCAAAATAACATGAAAACTAAATTCTTATTGTCAAATGAAACCCGTTGATATCAAGACTAAATTTTTTTGTGACCATAACAGTAACTTTTTCTTTTTGTTGTTATGATTCGACAACATTTTTTTTTTATCCTTCTAACCAGAGAATGAAAAACAATAGAAATAAAATTTTGTATTAAAATCTCGAGGCAATTCAAATGTACCATTAAAAAACTAAAAGTACAAAAATAAATTTTTTTGTGCAAACTTTAAAACATATACTTATTTTACCTACCTTTTTCACCTCAATTCTTTATGTTTATTTTTGTCATTCCTTAATAGTTTAACTTAAATTGGCTTTAGATTCGGTCTTGGAAGGGTGAACTTTAAAACAAAATGATAGGGAAAAAATCATGAATAGTAAATTAATGCTGTCTTACGAGGGAAGGCACAATGCAATCTGAACAATAAACCTCTCCATTTCAAGTTTTGTTAATGTGGATGCTTTTCATTTATGCATGTACATTTACTTCCACACGTTAAAAAAAAATGCTAAAGGTTAAGGAAAAATTATTATCACTAAAGATTCAAAAATAGTATAAAGACAATTGTCGCGTGACAATTAAACTTTTGAATAAGATATTCGGGCTGGGGCGATCTTTTCACTATAATATGAATGTTTTTTTTATTATCAAATAATAGGGTTAGATTTGTTATTTTATTTTTTATTATACAGTAAAATTACTAATTTAATTTTAGAATAAAATAATCTAATGCCTAATACTTAGGATTTTTTTTGTATTTTTAATTTTTAAGAATAATATAATTATTTTAATATTTTTAAAAACAATACCAACAAAACTCCCACTCATGAGTTATTTTATTATTTTACATTGGTTTTATTATAAATTCTAAAGGTGCTCATAAAAATTATTGTAAGTTATAATTATTAAATACAATAAAAAAATTATTGGTATATACAATGCATGTCTTAGTGTGTAGATAATCCTGAGAAATTAGCATGAGAAAAGTCGTGCAACCATTTATCATTATTTTTCATGATAGCTTTTAGAAGGCATTGGCTCTTTAAATGTAATGAGACGATGTATGTTTGTAATGATTATTTTTTTTATATTCATGTAACAAAGAAATTAGTAAAGAAATATACTAAATTATACATGGTTACAAATACATTATGTCCACCAATATTTCATGCAAAGTAAACTCCCCTTGACCATTTTTTTTATATATAATCCTGTAATAAAAATAAATGCTAATTACTGCGATGTTATGTGAACCATGAAGATGACATGTAATTGGAAATGAAGCGCACAAAATGTCCTGCTTTGAAAAATAAATTCAAACCACCTTTTATATATATATATATATATATATAGAGAGAGAGAGAGAGAGAGAGAGAGAGCAGAAAATTTGGGATTCTCTTGCCATCTGTTATCTGTAAAAAAAAAAACAGAAAAGAAAGAATAAAAAGGACAGAAGATTCCATCGTTCATGACCTTCAAAATTCCACAACTTCAGCCACCTGGTTTCCTTCCATTTCCACATCCGATCGGATAAATCCACGTCATAAAGCACGAGACTCCATTACGCCCGCCCAACAAACCCGGACGTCATGGATTTGGCTGATGTTATTGCCATTGCTTAAGAGTATATTTGTTTTTATCTTTTAAAAGTGTTTTTTTATTTTAAATTATTTTTAATATTTTTATATAATTTTGATATAATAATATTAAAAATATTTTTTAAAATAAAAAAATATTATTTTAAGATATCACTAAG